GGCGGGGGGTGGGTGGCAGGGTGCTCCTCAGTTGGGCTCTAAGTGGGCACTTCCTTTAGATCCCCTGCCTCCACCAGGTGCACCCGTTGGCCTGCTCAGGACCGTGCTGTAGGCCTCTCCTGTGCCCTTTTGCTTGCTTGTTCTCTCGTTTGCGTATGTGTGGCCTTTCTTTGTTGTTTTAATAAACTTCATTGAAGTATGATTTACATACAGTAAATTTACCAGGTTCAAGCATACAGTTCATTGATTTTTGACCAGTGTACACTTTCTTTTTTCTTTTTTAATATTTGGAAGAAACCATACCTACTTTTTGCTTTTTAGAGAGAAGAGAGAGAAATGTTGATTTGCTGCTCCACTTAGTTGTGCACTCATTGGTTGCTTCTTGTATGTGCCCTGACCAGAGATTGAACCTGCAACCTTGTGTATTGGGGCGACACTCTAACATACTGAGCCACCCGGCCTGGACGACCAGTGTACACTTGTGTAACCACCCGTACCATCATGATGTTATCATCCCAATATTCCCTTCTCTTTTCCCTGCCCCTCGCAACCACTGATCTGCTTTCTGTCAGTACAGTTTTGTATTTTCTAGGATTTCATAGAAACAGAGTTATACAGTAGGTACTCTTTTGAGCCTGATTTCTTTCATTTTGCATAGTGCTTCTGAGGTTCGTCCTTATTGTTGCATGTGTCAGTAGTTTGTTCCTTTTTATCAGCGTATGGATGTAGTATTACAGTTTGTCCACTCACCAGTTGATGAGCATTTGTTTCCAGTTTCAGATATTAGGAATAAAGCTGCTGTGAACAGTTGAGTTTAAGTCTTTGTGTGGCCATACCTAGGAGTGGGATTGCTGTGTCATAAGTTGAGTATCTGTGTAACTGTATAAAAAACTGCCAAACTTTTCCAAATTGGATGTCCAATTTTGCATTCCTACTAGTATCATTGGAGAATTCCCGTTGCTTTACATCCTTGCAAACATTTGTTATTGTCAGTCTTTTAATCTTAGGCATCCTAGTGGCTGTCTCATTGTGGTTTTTAATTTGTATTTCCCTAATGATTGATGCTATTGACCATCTTTTCATGTGTTTATTTGTCATTTGTATAGCTTCTTTGTGAAATGTCTAGTCAGATTTCTTTTTGCTCATTTTAATAGTTTGTCTTTATTGAGTTGTAAGAATTCTTTAATACTCTTTTCTTTTAATATGTTTTTTATTGATTTCAGAGAGAAGGGAGAGGGAGAGAGAGATAGAAACATCAATGATGAGTGCCTTTGATTGGCTGCCGCTTGCATGCCCCCTACTGGGGAATTGAGCCTGCAACCCAGGCATGTGCCCTGACTGGAATCGAACCCTGACTTCCTTGTTCATAGGTCGATGCTCAACCACTGAGCCATGCCGGCTAGGCTTTAATAATTTTAATAAAAGTCTTAGATACATATTTTGTAGATATATTCTCCCAATTTGTGACTTGCCTTTTTATTTTCTTAGGGGTGGCTTTGAAAAACAAACATTTTTAATTTTAATGAAGTCCAGTTTATCACTTTTTTCTTTTATGCTTCATGCTTTTAGTGACTTAAGTAAGAAATGTCTGCCTGTTCCAAAGTTATAAAGATACTCTCCTGTATTTTCTTGTAGAAGTGTCTTAGCTCTTACATTTGGGTCTGTGATCCATTTTTGTGTATGGTATAAGGTCAGGGTTGAGATTAAGTTTTGCATGTGGCTATCCAGTGTTTAAGCACAATTCAGTTTTCATTTCTCCATCAAATGATCTTGGAACCTTTGTTGAAAATGGAGTGACACTGTGCAGCTCTGTTTTTGGATCAGTTTTCTCTCTTTGATCTACATGTCTGTTCTCTAGTGAGGTTTTCTCCTGCGCTATGGCTGATATGACTAGAATTTGTCTTTTCTGATGACCGTGTAGCATTACTCTGCTGAGCCCTGCCTGACAAGAGTAATTGATGCCACTTGTGCCCCAGGGCTGTCTATACACCTCATCCCACCTCTCCCGGTGCTGGCACTTTGGCACTTAGCGTGTCTCTCTCCTTAGGACACTGGCATCGGGATGACACAAGAAGAGTTGGTGTCCAACCTGGGAACGATTGCCAAGTCGGGGTCTAAGGTAAGCCCCCCCAGTGCCCCTTCCTTCCTCTCCTTGAAAGGCAGCCCCCTCCCAGAGAGGGTAGGTGCCAGCCCACTCTGAACGCCAGCTTCAGTAGGAGTGTCCTCTGGTGTGAGCTCTGTGTTGGTTCTATGGAAACACCATGTGACATGATTTCATTCTATTGTTAGGGGGACATCTGAGGAAGTTCCTGTTATTTTATAGATGAAAGGCTGAAATAAGTACTTGATGCATAGGTGGAAATTGACTGGCTCTAGGTTCAAAGCCTGTTGGTGTAAGTCTGGAATATGCCATTCTGCCTCCTGAAGCTTTTCTCCAAGTCATTTCTCAGTGATTACTTGAGCTGCATAGGCTTGAGATAGAGGGGGTAGGCAGAAATAAATATTCTTCCTTTCACACACCATGGTTCACAAGAATAAATGTGGCCTGCAGTGTCCACGGGCAGGATGGTTCTTCAGAGCCCGCCTCTGTGGGAACAGAGCGCCCATTGGGGTGGTTGGCTGCTGGTGCATCTTGAAGCCTATGAGGGGAGGCAAGTGTCAGTGATCATGGTGTCCTCCTCCAGTGGCTTTTGTGCCAGCCCAAGACAGGTTGGTGGCCCTCAGCTGCCTTTGTGCCTCTCCTTGGTGACCAAATGTTCTTTGTTTGTTTTGTGGGCCTAAGTGGTGCCTAAAATGACACTTTGCGCTAAGTGCTTGAAAATAGTCTAATTATTGGTCCAAAGCGATTTATAGAAATTTCCACTTTTAAAAAACTTCTTTATATAACTTACTCCCCCCCATTACATTTATTGTATTCCTATCGAGGAAAGTCTGTGCTATCTCATGGACAGTATTCATAGCAGAGTGTCTTCATTTTACTTGATTTTTAATCTTAGAAAGTTTGCTAACATGAGTTATAATAGTTAAGTGCTGGTGGTACCATACAAAGCATGTCCTTGGTATGTACTGTTAGCCCATGAAGTGTAGAATCTAGGAGACATGCAGAAGACACATCTGGGCATGTGTGTCACATCCCTTCACCTCTGGAACCTCGGGCTGCCCTAAAGAAGCTGTCGCTCCTCTCTTTCTTGCAGAGAGGACGCGTGCACTCACACTGCCGCTTCCTCACACCCAGGGTGTGTGACCCATTGGCCTGACAGGCTGGGTTACAGGCCCTGTGAATCAAATACAGAACCCTCTGCTGCCCAGCGTGGGGTCTTCGGGCAAGTCACTTTACCCCTCTGTGCCATTGTTCTGTGTGTAAAATGGGTGAAAAAGTATTTAGTGTGGATGTCTTGAGGATTAAATGTGATCTTAGCCCTTGTTAGAGGAACGCACATAGGGAGTCACAAACGTCAGTTCTCTCTGGGGAAGGGGATGCCCTCCCTCTGACCAGCCTTTGCCACCACAGGCCTTTCTGGATGCACTGCAGAACCAGGCAGAGGCCAGCAGCAAGATCATTGGCCAGTTTGGAGTGGGTTTCTACTCGGCTTTCATGGTGGCCGACAGAGTTGAGGTCTATTCCCGCTCAGCCAGCCCAGGCAGCCCTGGTTACCAGTGGCTTTCAGACGGGTGAGTAAGTGACAGTGGGGTCCCCAAGTCATGCACAAGGAGTGTCCCTTTCCCTGGGACCACTGCAGCTAAGGGGCACTTGATGCGCAGAGTGGGATTGGGCTGAAGCATTAGCACTTTGTTTGGAAAGTTAGACCCTCCTCGGAAAACGCCACCGGGCCTTCCTGGGCCTTTTACAGGAAGCCTGAACCTCATACTTTGGGGAGCCAGCTACTTTATGATCCCAATGGCCCGTGGTGTCTGTTTGGGCTCCGTGACTGTGCTCTGGAGTGTGGACTGTTCCCAGCGAGTCTCCTTGGTTCAGGGTTTGGCCATTCTCCTGGTGCCCCCTTGTTCTGGTTAGCCTCCATGGACTTTGTCTTATGGGAACTCATTCTTGATTACCTTACCCCCTGACCCATGAATTTCCGGGTTTGACCCACTGGCCTGGCCCCACTTTCCTGCCAGCTCAGGCCTCAGGAGTTTCCCTTCAAAGATGCTTGTTTGCTCTCCAGCATGCACTGGGCCATGTCTTACAGCTCAGTTAGGTGCATGTTCCAACACGATCTCAAGTCTGTATTTGAGGAGGATGACATCTTAGTCAAATGTGAGCATTTGTTCAGTAGGCCCCAAACTTTCTGAGTCCTGTTTTCCTGACAGTCTTTTGTCTTCCACTGTGGTTTTAGTAGCACATTGAGGAGGAGGCCCGACCAGAGCACAGCTCATCTCCCTCAGTCAAAATTAAAGTTTCTGCTTTATTCCATGAAAGCAGTGCTCAAGGTAGCAATGAGGCATCGACTTGTTGGGGGTTTGTCCCCTCCTGTTTTTCTCCTGAAATAGCTTCTCTGCTCTTAAGGAGACACCTGGCTTCTGCTAGAGGTTCAGAAATGCACAGAATTAACATGGAGTTAGGGGCAGTCTGCAGGCCTCTGGCTGTGTGCTCCCAGTGTCTGGCACAGTGCCCAGTCCTGCTCAGGTGAACATAAAGCTTGAGAGGTTGTGCTCCTGAGAGAGGATGTCCTAAGGGAGGAGAGCCTTGCACCACAGCAGCCACTGTCCCTGACAGAAAGTTGTTGGCCTAGGGGCTCGGCTGGGTGCAGAAAAGGTGGTGCTCTGGCTTCCTTTCTGTGTGTCAGCTTGGGCTCTGCTTGTGAAAACCAAGGAAGAGTCACTAGACTTGACGTATAGGATTTTTCAGTAGTCATGTGGAACTGGCTTTCCCTCTCTTGTGTGTCTTAGCTCCGGAGTATTTGAAATTGCTGAAGCCTCAGGAGTTAGAACTGGGACCAAAATCATCATCCACCTCAAGTCAGACTGCAGAGAGTTTGCCAGCGAGGCCCGAGTGCAAGGTGAGTAGGAGCCTGGGCTTCTGGACACGTGGGCGGCAGCACCAGGTCAGTGAGGTACCTCTTTCTGGCCTGTTTTAGGAGATTCTGTCAGGGTGGTGGTGTGTGGGGAACACAGGATAGAGCTAATAGGGACATTCCGCAGGTTGGCTACTTAGGCCCTCTGAGGACAGGCTCTGGGCTTAGCCTCCTGACTGTTGGCAGTCAGGTTCCATTCACTCTTTCTCCCCTTGGGCAGCACTTTGTCTTCAGTCACTTGGAGGTCTCGCACAGTGCTTTCATCACTGCCTGTTTTGTCAGATATCACTGGCCCACCCACCTGGCCGGCTTGAGCCCAGGCTTGACTGAGAACCAGAGCGGGTGCTTCTTTGTGGTGGTTTTCTCTATCCATGTCTTACTAAATGCTTATTGAAGGTGCTGAGTGCTTTCCAAGGTTCACTACTAGCTTATAAAACTGCATTTATGTCACCAAGAAGGCAGCATGATCTCATGGTGGCCTGAACCTGGAGACATCTGGTTGTGGTGTGAGTTCTGCTCAGCATGTGCAGGCAGGATGTGTCCCTGCAGTGTCCTGGTTTCCCACCCGTGACACGGGCATGGCACTGATGAGCCCTCCCCAGCCTGCTGAGTTACCCCTGTAGCAACTTTCAGAGCTTTTGTTTCTAGAAATTTCTGTAGTCATTGTTTTTCTTTTGTCTCTTTTAGATGTGGTGACAAAATATAGTAATTTCGTCAGCTTCCCCTTGTACCTTAATGGAAAACGTATCAATACCTTGCAGGTGAGACACTCAGCTGTGTGAAGGGCTCAGGCAGCTATGGAGGCCAGTTGGTACATTTTGGGGCTGAATGGGCAGAGATGGGACTGGGTGATCCTGTCAAAATCCCAGGACAAGGTGGTCTTTGTGGAGAGGCGAGATCTGTGATGCAGATGAGGTCCTACCCCTCCACACCCCATTCCTGTGCACCAACTGTAAATTCCCACACCGTACATTTCACCCTGTTATAGTGTACAGGTCAGTGGTTCTTAATGTATTCAGTGTTGTACAACAGTCACCACAGTCAATTCTAGAACATTTTCATCACTCAAAAATAACCACCCCTGTACCCATTAGCAGTCAGTCCCCACACCCCCTACCCCCCATCTCTGGCAACTACTAGGCTACTTTCTGTTTCTGGATTCACCTATTCTGGACATTTCATATAAATGGAATCAAGCCTGATGTGGCCTTTTGTTTTTGTGTCTGGTCTCTTATCATAGGTTCATCTGTGTTGTCCTCTTGGGGCTGGATATTCCATTGTATGGTTAGACTGCTGCTTTATCCATTTGCCCACTCATGGCGACTATTCATGATATGTGGGCACATCTAAATCCTACCACCTGGTTCACCCTTCTGGACACACTGTACTGGGGGAGGGGGTACTTGTTCTCAGAGCCTTTTGTGTGTTTTTGTACTCACCCACAATCCATTCAGGGACACCCCTTCCCCCAGTGCTGGAGTGGGTGGGGCTGGAGGCAGACGGAGGGGCTTGCACCTGAGGCCACCACCCTGGTCTGTCCCAGGAGGCTGGTTCTCTGCTCATCCTGAGGGAGCACTCACTAGCACCCAGGTGCCATGAGCTCCATCAGCTCAGCTCCATGTGGTTGTTGTGAGGAAGTGTCTTAAACATAATATTCCCCATTAATGTCCATTCCCAGGCCATCTGGATGATGGACCCCAAGGACGTGGGCCAGTGGCAGCACGAGGAATTCTACCGCTACATCGCTCAGGCCTATGACAAGCCCCGCTACACTCTGCACTACAAGACAGACGCCCCTCTCAATATCCGCAGCATCTTCTATGTGCCGGAAACAGTGAGCATTTGACTTGCTGCCCTCAGCATGCTGGGGCTGCATGTGGCTTGTCTGCAGCTCCCTGAGTGGGGCATCACCCATGGCGACAGCGTTTCCCATCACCAGTAGCACTTCCTGAATGGTTACAGCCCATCACAAACATAGCACAAAAATTAACTTGGCAGCATCAGAGAAAAGAAAAACCTATGCCTCTGGGTGGGTGAGCACAGAGTTGTAAAGGGAGGGAGTGTTTTACGTGGCGGTTTTGGGTGGAGCAGAGATGTTGGGCCATGAGGGCCTGGGCTTTTGTAAACGGAGCTGGCTCAGGGTGCCTGCAGGGATGCCCCTTGGAGCAGCCTGTGGGCTTGCTCTGTCTCCAGGCAGCACGTTCCCGACCTCTGCGGTGAGATGGATTCTGGGGTGCTCTTCCCGAGCGCCAGTGGGATGGATTCTGGGCTACCCAGATAATTTGTGCGTTCTCCATACTTCCGTTTCACTCCTAAGACTTCTGGCTCATAGTAGCATGGTGAAATCTATGACAAAGCCTGCAGCAGAGAAGCCTGCTCAGGGCTCCCTGGCTTCATTTGACTGGAGCCTTCTTAACGCCCCACACCAATTATCCACTTAGGAAACAGCTATTCTTGACCCTCATTACTGAGTGTCCTTTGTAGACCAGCTATACTGCTTCCTGCGACAATTAATGCAGAATCTTGGGCCCTTCCAGGACCTCCAGATTCAGTCTTTATTTTAATAAGATCGCAGTGTGAAGGGTGTACAGACTGCAGGTTTCGAAGCACTAGGTTAGAGCAGGGCTTGGCAGGCATTTCTGTGGAGGGCCAGACAGTGGCTGGTTTGGGCTTTGCAGGTTACTCACAGCCGCAGAGTTCTGCCACTGGCCAGAAAGCACCATGACTGCACCTAAGGGAACAAGCAGAGTCGTGGTCCAGGAAACTATAGACACTGGAATTTATACCTCACATATTTTTCACATACCGTGAAGTATTATTTTGCTTTTTTTTCAACTGTTTAAAAATGAAAAAGCCATTCTAGGCTACACCAGGTGATGAGCCAGATTTGGTCTGTGGGCTGTAGTTTGCTGACCCCTAACCCCTAGCAGGTTTGGTTCTGTTCACGGGGACATGTGATTCCTCCAGCGGGAGTGGGTTGGGGAAGGCAGCAGCTGCCCACAGAAGGCCCCCTGAGAGCTGCTGTGTGGGGATCCTCTCTGGGCGCTGGAATTCTGAACAGACAGTTGTGGGTAGTCTCCTGGCCTATCTGCTTCTAGATCACTGCATATCCACCCCACAACTTCCATTCCAGGGCCAGCATTGGGCAGGATGGTTCACAGAGTTATCAGGGCTCCCCCATGACCTTGTAGGTTCTGCCCCCGTGTGTGCAGCTGACACTGCCCTTTCCTTGCCCACAGAAACCATCAATGTTTGATGTGAGCCGGGAGCTGGGCTGCAGCGTCTCTTTGTACAGCCGCAAAGTCCTCATCCAGACCAAGGCCACTGATATCCTGCCAAAGTGGCTGCGTTTCGTTCGAGGTATGGGGTCCACGCCCTAGAATGGAAATGGGAGTGGCTCCCTGCCTGTGGCCTGGGGCGCTGACTGCGTTAGAAGGAGCTCATCTGTAATGAGTGTGGGGTCAGGGAGGCAGCCTCAGATGCTGGCTGGGTGAGCCAGATGGGCGTGCTCACAGTGCCTCCCAGGAAGCTAACTGCCTCCAGATACTAGTCTTGATTTGGGGGAATGGGACAGATAGACATGTTTAAATTGAGTTGTTATAGTGTTTAAAGATATCACATGAGCTTTAGATTTAGACATGAACTGCCTTGATTTTTTTTGTTTTTGGTTAATCTGCACTGGAGGATATTTTTTCCCATTGATTTTATTTTTTTTAATTTATTTTTGTTAATCCTCACTCTAGGATATTGTTCCCATTGATTTTTTTTTTTTTTTTTTTTTTTTTTTTTNGCTAATTAATGCCTGGAATGAAGAGACAGATATTAAAAGTTTCCCTGGGACTAAGACCACAGACCCATTTCCCATTCTCCACATAGCAATGAGTAACCCTTTATTTTACTTTTATTGATTTTTGTTGTTAATTCTCATCTGAGGATTTTTTTCCCATTTTTTTTTTTTTTTTTTTTTTTTTTTTTAGAGAGAGAGTAGAAGGGAAGGAGGGAGAGAGAGACATCAGTGCGGGAGAGACACATCGATTGGTTGCCTCCTCACACACCCCGACAGAGACCGGGAACCTACAACCCAGTTACGTGCCCTTGCCTGGGTACCAAACCCGAGACCCTTCTTTGTGCGGGCCAGCACTCTAACCACTGAGCAACGCTGGCCAGGGCAGCCTTGCATTTGAGTGAGATTAATAATAAACTCAGCGTGTAAACCTTTGTGTTCATCATAGCATAAAAAGGTACAAAATACCCACAGCATTTATGACTTTAAACATAAAATCCAGGAAGTGGTTTTCAGAGTGTCAAAGTGATGCTGAAATGTTAGAAACTTCACTGGCAAAGGCTCGCAGCCTTGCCTGCTTTTCCTCCGATCACATCTTCCTGACCTAGGCTGTCTGCATAAATTCCAGGACGTCAGGACTTTCAGGGACTGGGGTGGTGGTGCCCCACTGAGCCTCCTCCCTTTGTCCTTCCTGCCTCCACCTTACCCTCACGTGGTCATGTGAGCTTCAAGGGAGAATTTTGGGGCCGAATGGGAGGCCAGTG